TATATATATATATGAACCTCTTGTCTGAGGTTAATAGCTTTTTTTTCAGTTAATTTTATTTACAAGTTAAATACCCTACAATAATACAGAGAAAATTCCAACAATCAAACAACCCACTTTAAACAAGCACTTGGAAACACTGACAAGGAAAATCTTCCTTTTAGCAGGAAAAAACTTCTGACTGAACCAGGCTCGGGGAGAGGCAGCCATACTTTATCAAAAAGGGAAAGCGTTCAGCCTGATCTTAAAAGCAGAGAGGGTGTCTGTCTCCTGAATCCAAACTGAGAGCTGTTTCTTGGCCTGAAATCTGGCAGCTCTTCCTCCCATTCTACTTTTCCCCCATTCTACCTCACATCTTGGGAACCACAAGTCACCCAGCAGTTGGAGAGCAAACTGCCTTATTGGAGTAGGGTACTATGAGGTCTTTAACGTAAGATGAAGCCTAATTATTCAAGACCTTGTATGTGCGAAGGATTCCAAACGACCAGGTCATATCCTGGTCAAAAACAACTCCAACTTTCCTCATAGTGTTACTGGAAGCCAAGGTAGTGTCATCCAGAGTAAGTACTTGATAGATGCTATGTTTTAGTAAATAACCTCAGTTTTATTTAAATTTCGAAGCAGAAATGTAAAGGTCATCTACGTCTTTACATCTTTAAGACTTTCCTACAGTTTTGCCGATTGGTGTGTGTTATCTGGCCTTATGGATAAATAAAGCTGGATATCATCTGCATAGCAATAAAAATGCATGCTATGCTGTTGAATGATACTGCCTAAGTAAACGTTTGTAAATGGTATTGGGTATCTACAAATATTATCTTGATAGCTATTGTAAAACTGAAAATGTTTTCTACGTTACAGTATACCTTTATAAGTTTCCATAAAAGTCGGGCAGATTGGCACTGGAGTCAGTCAAATAACTGCAACATGTACTATTATTTGTGTTCTGTTTTGTTCACTAGTTAGCTTTAGGTTCCAAAAGTACTTAAACAGTTTAGGAAACAAACGCAGTTTTGGATGAAAAATGTTAGCTGTAATGATAAAGTAAAAAAAGTTTCTATATATAATAGGTGGGATTGAGAATATCGTAATAATAAGAGAATGCTCTTACTATTACGATACCAGCAACTTTTATAAAACCAAAATATTTAAATACCCTGAAAATAAGAACAGGCTCATAGGTCAGTGATAAAAACTTTATAACAAAATGACCATTATACTGTACGTGGGAATTGTCAACAAATAGAGATACCATTAAACACTACATAAGGCTTTAAAAATTATGTGTGCTGATGTAATTAAAATTTAATTTTATCACCTCATCTATATTCCATAAAATTACAATTTTCTATAATTAGAAACAACAACAAAAATAAATTTAAATTAAAATATTACACGTGCTCAGTGATCATCATCAGGTGTGAGTTAGTTTAACAATAACTGACAATGGACAATATTTATTTAGCAGTATTTATTGCTGTTTTAATAACTATTAATTTACAACCCATTAAATGATTTGTTAGTTATTTTTAGGTTAGTTATTGTGTAACCTATTTTTTAATAAATTGCAATTTTTTAATTTTAAATTGTATTATTTTTAGTATTTGATGCTTTAATATGTAGAAAGTTTCCATGGGAAAGATGCAAGTTCAGAAAAGGTATTATAATACAAACACAGCACTTTGCAGAGGTAGATGAGCCACAGTTATACAAACATCGTAGTCTAAATAAACACATGTGCAACAAAGCGTCCTCATGACTGTTGTGATGGCAAATTTGACAAAACTGATAAACTTACGTCATTTCCTGTATATTTTTTAATTATGCAAATACGCAATATTGTTTCAATTAGTTTCTTTTTTCCAAATTAAACGTTTTTTCCACAGCTAGCTTTAACTTTTCTTGTAGACTTAGTACAAAATCATAACTTTGCTTGGCAGGTGAGTCGTTCACAAAAATGTAGACCTTTCCACATAAACTTTGCTTCTCTGCAGTTCTGTTGTGGATTTGGGTTGTCTCACAGCCTTCTGCCTCTTCATGTAAGCCCACACTGCCTCACTGATGTTGAGATCAACACTCTGTGGGGCTTTGCCATCTGTTATGAGACTCTTTGTTTTACTTGTGGCTAAAAAGAGTTCTTTACAAAAGCATGTTTGTGGCTGTTATGCTGAAGGATGAGTTTGGGACCAATCAGATTGTACTATATGAAGTACATGCACTGTATTGCTTTCCCATTCAAATTTTTCACAGAGGGCATATGATCTCGCTAGATAGAAAGTGGTGGAATCCTCCAGTCACCAATTACACATGTTGATGCTCGACTGAGGTCATTGTCACAGGACTTTTTCATGTTGACTTAACCGTGTGTATTAGATTACTGAGCGGTTAATTTTTCTTTGTCATTGAAACACATCTTAGGCAATGCTATATATCTGAATCCATGGCCCAGAACAAGATTTTTAGTCTTAAGAATTCCACTTCTTCTATTATAGATTGGAAAAGATTCTAAGTGAAGAGGTGTACTGTTAAGCCTAATAAAGGGATCCTTTTTCTGGATCATAGAACTACTGTCACTGCATACATTTACTTTTTTTCAATAGCACAAAAGGTTTGGCATCGTCTCTGAAGACATCAATTGTTTCACAATGTGGAAAAGAATACTCAAAGAGAGTAAACTGTATGTGTCAGATTTTGTGATGGTAGAATGGATCAAAGACAGCCGATGTCCTATCTTGACTGACATGAGATGTTTTTGAGCTCACAGTATATCCTACAACTGACAGGCTGGGGCTGAAGGCAGCCTAAAAGAGTGGAGTTAACACAGTTGAGCGGACTTCTCACATACACAGGGGAAACAGTTCAGTACAGCTTCCATGATTGACTAAGACCCATCGGAGCCTTCCCTTTGATCTTCGTCCAGAGTCTAGTGCTCTACTTTACCAGACACATGGGTGCACTGCTGTAGTAGAAAAGTAGAGCTAAAAGCAAACAGGCCATTCTTGTAAATGAGTCATAAGTCCTTTATTTGACCCGTATATATGATTGATGAATTTCTCTGTCAAAGGTAAGAGGAACTGAGTTTGTAGACAAGTAAAAAATGAATAGAAAAGACAAGAAACATGACTGCTGGAAAAGTCGCCCCTTCTGAACATGTGGCCACACATTTTTATGATCACAATTTGTAGAGAGAAAAAGGAATTTTCCAAATTAGTGAAGCTTACATGTTTTCAATAATGTAAAGATTGCTGATGATAACTCACCAGGGTAATGTACTCATCCTTGTTGGACATGAGAAGAAATCCTCCATCATCCAGTATCACACAGTCCACATGCTGGAGGATAAAAAGTGTTAAACAACTGAAAAAGCGTTCAAAAAAAGTATTTAAATAAACTGGTAGCTTTTTATATGGTTATACCTTGTCATTCCTTAGACAGCCGCAAATCTCATCTTTGCACTAAAAGGAAATAAATTGAGTGAGGCAAAAAAAAAAGTTCAGTAAAATATACATTTCTTAGATATTTCAAACAATAAAATGAACAGCTTACATTCAGTTTCAGTGTGGCATTCATGAAACTGTTCATCCAGAATGAGACATTGAGTTTCACTCCCACCACTACAGAACAAACCACAAAACAGGCAGAGGTCTTTTTATTTGTGTTTCATCACAAGAAGCAATCAGCGTGGTATTAGCAAGACTGACCTGCTGGTTTGAGCGTGACTTCATTAATGACAAGATCCACTGCTTTGCTCACCAGAATACCTGACTCAGACACAGACTCCCCACTCTCTGCTGCAATTTGGAAAAAGATGAAAGAAGGTTAGATGATCTTTTATCATTGCAATTTAATTGAAATCATGTTTAGAAGTATGCGGCAGAAAGCAATTTCCACTCCCAGTGCAAAATTCCATACATTTTTATCTGCCGAAATTTACAAGAGCTGACCCTGTAAAGCCAGCACGTGTTAATCTAGTCACGTGTACTGGAGCTTTAAGCATGGCTTCATCACTGCACTGATGTCTGTTAGAGTGATCAGCGGAGATGACAGGAAGTATACAGGACAGAAGGGAGGGAAGGTGGGGATGAGCACTTTAAGACACAGCGGGAAAAGAAGAAGGATAAAGAGAGTGATATCAGAGGGCTGAGAGCCTGATCTCTGCCAGTAGGATTGGGATGGCGTCCAAAGGCAGAGAACAGAAAAGGCTCAGTGCCAGACCACACTGAAGATCCTCACACACGGAAATGTGCATGCAAATCCAAACCTTTCAGAAAACTTGCCGTTGAAAGATGGAGCTGTGAAAATATAAATTTCATTGTCCAGGGTCCGCTTGTAGAAACTTGACTCATATGTCTCAGGATTCTCAGTCCACTCTTCCCCAGCACTGAAAACATTAATAAAGGTGTGTAATATTATATGGGGTCTGTTACAGCCATAAAACACCAAGTAAATGTGTTTGATCTTTCTAAACAACTCATATTTTAATCTATAGCCAGTTGTAACTCATAAAAATAGGCTCACACCCTTTGTAGGGTGTGACGTCCTTATAATAAAAGCAATAACGAACTGTATATTGTGTTTTTGATTGTGAGAACAAAGACTATGTGCATTCAGTTTTAGTTGCAATGTTGCTGTATATTTGAAAAGTGGAGCCCCTAAATGTTGTTCAGGCAATTGAGGAGAAATTGAGGAAAAACTGCTGTATTTGGCTGTGGTTTTTGTAGTCTTAACCCCTGTCCTATACTGGTCTGGCAAGCCCTGGGAGTTCAGCTGAAAGAGTTTAATCCTCCATGTTCTGTAAAATAGCCCAGTGAAGCAAGTGAGTAAAGCAGCCAAAACCACTCAACCTAAGAGTATTACAGTCTGTATCAATTTTCATTTTACACATTTTCACCACAAGGTATTTGGGGAAAGAATTCAGTGATATTTCCCAATGCTAATGATAGCAAAAAACTAAGAGTACCTTCTTGGATAGACTCTTGTGATTCCTCCATCTGTAGCTACAAACCTGGCCGCTATCCCATCCCTGAGAACATGGAAAGCAACAGAAAATCAAACATCAAAGTCAATCACACTCACAATTACAGAAAAAGAGCTTTTGTGAACTGAGATCAGACTACAGACACAAACTGTTTTATACCCATTCGATTGTCTCTATATGTCATAATGTTAAACAGATACCCTTCAGTGTGTGTAAATGTGTGCTGGGATTATTTCAGACAAGGGGGCATACCATAAAAGCAAACACACTGACGTAATTATTTTATTTTCCCCTCAAAACAGCGTCTTGGCAAAGCACAATGTGGTTGGGTGTGATATGCATTTTATACTTTGCTTTCATCATATTTCACTCATAAGTTGTGATCAAATCATCCATGGCGGACAAGAAAGAAGTGAAACGTTGGCTCAGCCAATAAACTGTGCATGAAGTAATCATCAGCTAGGGTAGTTCAGAGCAGTGGTGTACAAATAGAACAAGGTTTTCCACTGCACAGTACTCTGTAATGTATATAGTACTGTGCAAATGTCTTAAGTCACCCCTCATTTCTTTAAATTTTCCTTCCAACGAGCCACAAGACTTTGTAATTCTTTTAAGACATCACAATCACATTCCTTCAGGTCACACTGTCATTTCGCAAGACAATGGAGTCTCCAGATGGGGCACCTTCCAGCACCCCAACTCAGGGTGTACAAGTATACCCCTGGCTGGATTCAATCAGACGTTTGGCCAAAGTCCAATTAAATTTAGCCAGTATCACTAGGCCTCATCACTAGCACTATCTTAAGCTTCCTTTTGCACCAGAGCCATGGCATTCTATGTAACCAAAGCAGTTTCAGGGGATCGGACTGCCAAGGCCTCTGGCTTCAATCACCATCTGATTCATACTGCACCAGACTTCTACAGCGCCTCCTATGGGTGGTGGAATGATGTAGCTCATTCATCACCAGACTTTTGCCAGCAATGTCTCCGTGGGCCTGGCTCCAGGGTGGGTTTTGTGACTCATACTTAATTTGGATGGGTGGATGGATGAATGGATGGTGTTAGGCAGTACTTTCCCAGGTTTTCTAAAAGTCTTTCAAAGTTTTTCTTTAGACATTAGCTGCTTTTTCGCTCATTTTCAACTCTGAACCTTAACCCTCTAGTCCAGGGTGTCCGACTCCAGACCTCAAGGGCCGGTGTGCTACAGCTAATGTCTGCAGGATCCAACACAGCTGATTCAAATGGCTAAATTACCTCCTCGACATGTCTTGAAGTTCTCGAGGCCTGGTAATGAACTAATCATTTGATTCAGGTGTGTTGACCCAGGGTGATATCTAAAACCTGCAGGACACCGGCCCTTGAGGCTTGGAGTTGGAGACCGCTGCTCTAGTCCTTGTAGCTGAGCATTTTAAAATGAACGACAGGGGTGTTTTTGGTTTGTTTTTTAAATCCCTTTACATTGACATATGTCTCATTCAAGCATAAAAAACAGACCAAACTCAAGGGATTAACCTGTTTCATCTCTATACAGACAACTTAGCAAATAACCTATTTTAAATTGTATCTTCAGGCACATCATTAGCAGCCTATTTAAAACAATACATAATTTGCCTTAACCTTTTTAGCTGAATATGAAAAATGGCTTGACATAGATGAAATAGTATTTTTGCACCAAAAATATTTTCAAAGTGTTATTAGCTGAAAATATGGCTTATCCCAGCACTATATGCAGTGTTTCATTAAAAAAAATGTTTTGAGGACAAAAAAAGACTTGTAATTAGGAAACAGGAAACAATTCCAGCAAACACCTGCTACATCTAGTGTTTGCTGAAGCCTCGTCAGATAAGGTCTCAATGGAATGAAGCAAATCAAGATGGGAAGAAGGGAGAAAATAATACAAGAACTGGATTGAACATTTGTTGCAACAGGTCTTATGGAGTAATGAATCCAAATTTGAAATTTTGTATTCTAATCATCATCTTTTGCCTGAGTATCACCACATAATATTGAAAATGTATTTAAATTCCCTATCACTATTTTATTGAAGTGCAGATTTTCACATTTGTTTATTTGCATTGCTTTCAATACACAAGACCTAAAAGTTTTGGCACTCACACGGTCTGCTCGCTCCAAAGTTTAACCAGTTCAGCTGTCAAACCTGCATCCAGGATCAGTCGACTCACAAGGGACACATTACCTATAGATTAAAGACAAGGTATTTTTTACATATTCCAGGCAGTGAAACATAGCACAACAACAGTGCGTGACAGGTGAATTATAGTAATGCAAAAAGCAGTCTCTTGTTTACAAATCTGGGCAGGTAACATTAATAACTTATGCTTTTGGAATGTGCACCAGTGAGCTGAAACCAATCAGATCTTCTAATTTGCTAAAAGTTAGAATAAAACAAGTTGTCATGCAGGTGAAAGTCAGAGTCTGAAAAAAAGAGCAGGTGTATTCAGCCAATGTTCTTCTCTAAATAAATCAAGGGAAAATGTCAGCTGTCCGAAAACCATCCAGCAGGGAGGCTTGTGTGGCTATTGCAATTCAGAAAGCAGGTGTACTTTGTGAAGGATTGACTGTTGTATATTTAGGAGGGAGATGATGCCAAGATGCTAAGTTTAAATCTCAAAAACGTGCTTTTCAAAATGAAATCATTCAAGCACGTTTCTCTATAGAGTTTCAACACAACATCTCCCGAGTGTTGTTTTAAATCATGTCCATAACATTTCACAATGACTCAACGTACTGCATAAACAACAGCAAAAAGAGAATTGATGCCAAAGTACATGACTTGACCTTGGGTTAAAATGGATCATGGTACACTGATCCATTAGCTGGATGATGGTGGTAAGCCATACTCTGGGTGAGATCCATTAGGTGATGACAAACACTATGAGTCATTGTGCAGCATGACAGCATCAGACTTGTAGGAAACTCAGTCGATAATTCTGTTATCATCCTGCTTAGGATATAGTAATGATCACAGTCATGCTCTGACCTTGAGATCAAGATTTGCAAGTGGAAAATCTTTTAGACCATGATAAACTGTAAAATATGCAATGTACAAATACATACACACACATAGAAATGCAACATACCGTCTGCTGTTCTGGGTGTATATGCAATATGAGTACGAACAGTGCAGGAAACCAGTACAAATGTGCACAGTGAAATAACACTGAAAAAGATGCATGACTCACATGCATCTGGAGTGTTTCTATCAATGTACTGGTTGAAGTCGAGGAGAAATTGGGTGTTGTTGAGTGACAACTTCAGCTCTTTGCAGTACTCCCTGAAGAAACAGCATTGGTCAGTTGGAATCTCCTGTATAGTATATAGAGGATGTATAGTAAATGTGAGGACCACTCACCTTGGAGCAATGTAGGTATAACCAAATTCTTCAAATCTCTCCTGCTGCAAGGTCTCCATTGCTTTTGAAAAAAACAAAAAACAACCTTGTTTAGGCTCATATTATCAGATATTATATTATCCAAAAATATATTTTTACAGATAAGTAGAATAGGAGCCAGCTGTGTGATGGCTATATGTGAAAGTATTCACTGTGAGATGACATGATAAGCAGACAAACAGAATTTATTTTGGTTGATACACACACACAGGAGTCCAAATTCCATGACAAGCTCCAAAATCCATAGCCATACATAGTCACAAGAGAATTAGACAGATATGAGGTGATGGATTAAAGTAGAGAGTGTGAATGGAGTTAGAATGGGAAGCTATGAGAGAATAACTGACTGAGAAATACTTGCCTTCTTGCCCTGTTGTGACCCCAGAGAAAAAGAGTAGGAGAGAGGGGAAAGCAGGAAAGACAAAGGGTGATAAAAGTGAGTTTGTCATCTGACGAATGATGTCATACCTGGGAAAATATGTTGAGATGTGTATATTCCCTACAGTAGGTAATGAAATACTATGCTGCACTGAAAGGATATTAGGACTAATAGACAAACCTTGAATATATAAATAACAGAGATTGATTGCACTTTGTAGAAAAGAACAGAACATAAAACAATGAAAGGTGGGGTAGACTGTGGGAATGCAAGGAAACAAGATGTAAATATAAAACAATATGAGAAAATTTTTCTTCCAGGGTGTTACTTGCTGCAAGTCTGGATTTTATTAAAAAAAACAGTCTGGTAATTCTTATCGTATAAATGACACGGCAGGCATCAACAGCCATCATTCTGTAGTCTCTTAAAATGAAGAGTTTTTTGGACATTGCCTTTAAAATATATTGACTTGTGCGGTGCAGTCTGCAAAAACAATTACTGAGCGCCGAGTTTCTTTGGGGTCATTGAAATCTGGTGCAGGATGAAACAATGTCCTTCACATATAAAACATAACAAGCAGATTCATTGTTGCTGTGTCTCTATAGACTAGGAAGGGTGTCTTTATGTCTTTACTTTTCTCTCATCACTTCCTCTACCACAGTATTGGGTCACATCAACAAATATAAAGTTCCACTACATAGATAAAGAAAAAGTCCCACATATATTCATCCACCTTACCCATTGCTTTAAGGACAATTTCTAATATCCTAGAGAACAAGTGAGTGCAGAAACCAACGTGGTTTCTGCACTCACTTGTTCTCTAGGATATTAGAAATTCTCGATAAACTGGATTAAGGTGGTGTTCTGGTGGTCTGGCCCCAAATGGAAACTCAATATGGCTGTATGGAGAACTTTAGAGTCCAATCTTCCTATCAGTGCAGACTGTGGCACTGAGGCACAGCATGCTACTTTCTTTAACAGGCCTGTAAACGTTCTGACAGCATTTATGGCACAGTGACAAAGTCGTTACGGTAACCGAGGGAGCGATACAAAGGCTGAAAGAGTCAGTCAAGATCTCATCTGTTGGAATAGCTACACCATTGCTTATGCTTTGTGGTGTTTACATCAAAGTTAGCAAAAAATTAACTAAAGCCAGATATGCCAAATCCAGTGCTTTTTTCAGCCACTTTTAACCTTTGACTAAAATGGCCCTCTGTGCTTTGATAAGACAATAAACATCTCAATGCAATAATGCAAACAATAAAGGACAAAAAGGTTTATGCAATGGAAGAGCATCACACAGCAAGAAGGAAACAGAGGACACAGAACAGTGAGTACTTGCCCCAAGAAGAAGCTGTAAATTCCCGGTTCAGAAGCAGGAGAAGAGACAGAAAAAGCTGCATCAGAATCAAAATGCAAGCAATTGTACAAAGAGTGGCACACAGAATGTGTGCATGTTAGCGTGTGCCTGAGCTGTGTTTTCATGATTTATAAGCAACTATTACATTCGCTATGTTCTGAGGTGTTAAAAGAAGCAGCCAGTTTGCATTATACAGAGAGCTTTTGGAGCGCAGAGTGAAAAAATAAATAAATCGGCCAAAGAAAAAAACGAACATGGGGGTGGTGGGAGAGGGGTGTCAAGAAGAATGAAGAGTGTGAGGTGAGGACAGGTTTATAGATAAGATAGAGAGACAGAGAAATAGGTTGAGAGTCAGGGAAAACAATCCAGGGTAAGGTACGTCTGCTTAAGGTAGGTCATCACCCTGTTAACAATTTAGGAAAGAAAAGTTGGACTTAACGACAGAAAGGAAGACATAATTGGCCAAAGAAATATTTTTAAAAGTGTAATGTCCAAAAAAAAAAGGAAAAGAAAAACAACCAGTTTGGTAATGGAGATGATAATGAGGAGATGAGAGAAGCCCAAATGAAGGGAGTAAAGAAGGATGGAAGAGTAAAAAAAAGAGATAAGATCAAAAGAACCAGTGCTTGGGCTGGGTATGTGAGAGGGAAAGCATGTGGAAGAGTTTGTGTGGGAGCGAAGGGTGACTGACCAGTGGGTTGCACTAGAAAAGAGAAACTCTGTAGGGATTTGGCAGTTTTGAGGAGTAAATACAAAGGAGTCGCTATGGTTCCAGCTATGAACAAGCAGTACAAAGCAAGTGGGGACACTCAAGAGAAAAACCCAAAGACAGTATGCATGGGGGTAAAGATTTGTTTGCATGCTGGTTATCGCCGCTGTATATGTCATACTTACACATGGCTTGTTTAATATCATCCCCCAGTTTAGCTTGAATGAAGTGTTCACTGTATTTAGGCAACACAAGAGCCAGGCTGCAGAAAATATGACCACAGACATCTGAATAAAATTGTACAGTAAGTACGAAATTATACATTAAATATATAAAAAATAAAATAAAGGATGCTTTCCAAAGAGTTGTTTTTCCGGAATACATTTATGGTGGACTACACGTGTGATCTCTTCAATGTATTTCTCATTCAACAGAGGCTGGTGTTAGAAACAAGAGAGTGACCCCTGTTGGCTTAGGTACAGCAGCATCTTCCAATATTTGATGTCTCAGTGCTAACTGGGTTTGAGCTTACATTAAACTGCTCGAGCATCCTTAAAAATATATATATAATACAACATTTTTTGTAATATGTGTCACCTGTAGTCTGTTCCATTGACTGGTGCCCACGTGTAGGTCCTGATTCCACTATCTATATACCTCTGCAACAGATGGTGCATACAAAAAAGAGAATTCAGAATTGTTCTGTAAATGGTAAAGTTATGTATCAAGCTCCCTTTTAGTTGTGGAAAAATAAATAAATTTGTTACAAAGAAACTATTTTCATCCCAAACCAGGAGCTCTGTCACATCATTAGCACCTCACTTGTGGTGCAAAAATAGTCCAAAATATCCTCACGTAAAAGGACCTTCGTTATAGCAAGCAAGAACAAAAACTGTTTTCTTGTAGCAGGAGATAAAAATGTTTCTACATAAGTTGTAACTCTTTAAATGTAATAAATGTAAACATTTAAGAAAGCTTGAAATACATATTTATTCCGATGGCTGAATTAATATGTCAATATGGCTCAATCATTTTCAGTTACAGTACCTGTAACATTTCTCAGTGCCTCATTCATAAAGTTAATATAATTTTGAATTGAAGATATAATGTAGCTTGTGGCTGGGTTTGCCGATTTTAAAAACTTCCACCAGTTACTGCACTGTAATATGTTAATCCCCTTCAGCATATTGCCTTACCTCATCCTGAGTTTTGACCAGAGTGTTAATGGTGCGCTCTCCTGTTTCACCATCAATCATCATCCTCCTGATCTACACATCGAGACAAACAAACACCACAGTTAGACTTTTTTTTAAAAAAAAATCTGATTGACTGATAATAATAGATCATTTTAACAGTTTGTCTCATGGCTTCATATAAACAAGTTAGTCAGACAACCTGGAAAATCACTTGCAGATACTAGGAATAGTAACCTGTGACAGGACATGACAGCATCTGTATGTTTGTGTAGCAAACTTTGACTTGTGTAAGTGTTTGTTTGGTGGGGATTGACATGCTTCTATATACTACACCTCTATTTTGATGTCGTTCTCCAACTCAGCATCCAGAAAGTCCAGAGTAACAGGCTCCTGAAATTTAGGATTCTGTGGAAAGAATAATATTTCACTCAGAGAGAGGCACAGTTTTAGATTAACTAAGGACAGCTTAATCAATCACACTGACAGGATCAGTGTAATCAAAACAAAAGAGAATTTTGATTTAACTATAGACTTTTGATTAGCTGAGCTCGAAATAATATATTATGAGTTTTGTAAAATAAAATTCACTCAGACATATCAATTAATCTAAAGTCTACTGAGCTAATATAGAAAAATGTTCCAGGGGACCATTTTGCAGTTGTTATTCATCATCAGTCTACCACAGATTCCTCTGCATTTTGTAACTTGGATGGACAAGTAAGACAGTTTCATCTACATTTACATCAATCTTTTCAAAGTGTATCACTAAGAATAGTAAAGTCACCAAAAAGAATTATATTTTATTAATGCTGACTTAAAAAAAAAAGGGAAATCTGTCTTGTCTTATACACAGCTTTCTGCAATTTCCCAAAGAGTGACACGTATCAAACTAAAACAATTCTGCACAGTTTCATAGACAGTCTACTTCACTTCATTATTTTCTGTTAATTTTCTTATGAGCAGTTTAGCTGAATAGGTTCATATTGTATCACTTCCCTTTGTTTCCTTTTCTTAAAAGCTAATTTTATAGTTGTGAGCACTTCTGGTCTTTTGAATTAGGCTCCCACAACTACTTATGTGTCTAAAGGGACTGGGTTGATGTGGTCAGAAAGGCTATACAACACATTATTCCATAATTTTAAAAGGTTTTGTTCATATAAACGGCACAAAAAACCCTAACAAAAAATGTAAACATGTGCAAATATGCATTATTGTGTTTGTGTTTAGATACTTAAACAATGACACAACAACCCTTGGATTTTTTACTTTAATAACATTATTAACCCTTGTAT